AGATGAGAATTTACAAGGCCACCCTATCCTTCAATGGTTACCTCTGGAGAGTACTGCTTTTTGTCCGAGTCTTTACTACCATCAGTAGCAATACTGAATGGCAATCTCGGCATCCTAATGGCTAATTTCTTCATAGTCATTGCAGACATTTCTAAAATCATAGCTGTTGCTATATCTCTGCCACATTTTATATCTGATATGAATAAAAGAAAATTAAATAATAAAGATATTAATGAAAATATCTGGTATGACACTAAATAATTATTCCTATGGCACAAATCATCTTTAAAGCTGCACTCAGAAATTTGCTCTTTTTATTTTATTAAAACATAGCTTCTACACAAGCTACTTGATTTTGGAAAAGTGATTTTGAATTTAATATTTGACAAAAAGATGTCAAGGATGTACTTTTTACTCAGTGCTTCTTTAAAGAACTTACAGGCTTTGATTTCAAAATGTTTTTTGCAATCGTTTTGACACTCAATAACTACAGCAAGTCGTTGAGGGGATATATGATATATTGTTTAAGGGATAGAGCTGTTTTGTGGGTTCTAAAAATATATTTCAAATGCGACTAACTAGATATTAAAAAATATGTCCAAATCCAACTTCCCAGTGCAGAACAGTTGGATAATGTATTTTATTTTAAAAACCTTCTCTAATTTTCTCCGTTTTCACAATTGCGGTTCTGGTGAACAAAATAATTATGTAACAAAACTACATCACACGCCTGGTAGCAGAAAAAGGGGATGGTCGAGTGAAGTTATTGCGAGGGCAACTAGACTAAATATTACTGTTGACGCATCTAGGTAGTTCATTGTGACGCACAAAGCAACAATATGACAATCATTACCATCAATACGATAGGTTGAGGTGAAATTTTTATGGCATTCGAATTTTTATTGCCTTTGACACACCCACCTATCCCCCTATCCAAGCGTTGGTAAATGGTCATTGTGGATGCCACTATTTTCTCAATGGCCGCCATCTTGGTTGACGACACGTGAAGTAACGTGAAGTGTCAACCAAGATGGCAGCTCAAAAAGTAGTGCAAAACAGGTGTTATTAAAAACCCTAACCCTATATCTATCCCGAGCAAAATCTTTTTAAAAATCAATGAAATTTCAATAATTTTTTACTCACTCATGCATCAGAATCTTGTATTTGGGGAGGATTTTTTTATGGCATTTAAAAATTCTCTCATTTAAACTCTATTACCACATAAGTGTCGCCACATATATTCAAATAAATATGAGTTGAACTGCTCCTCCCCAGGACAGGTTCTTGTGGGCATAGATCGTTTAATTGCATTCCAGGTGCCCTCTATGGTGTTGGTGTGTGCGCCCATTTCAGAGTGTTTGAACTCAATTGTATGGTTCACCCTCAGGTGGTGAAACCCTACAGTTGTAAGACCTCCAACAATCAGAAATTGTTGTGGTTCCTGGCTGCACTAATTCTTTAATTATTGCCAGGAGGACTTCTTTACCGCGGTTCTCAACAACCCTGAAAAAGATTTTGTTTGATCCTCTTTCAATCCCACCAACACCTATTTTCCTTCTACGCGTTTGCCTCTATGATACTTCCGCTTGCCGAATTTGGATTCATCCATCTCCACAATTTTTTCTTAACCAAAAATGTGTCAATAACATAATGTCACACGTCAATCTACTGTCACTAAAACACGACCCCTTCCTTAAACTATGCACAATATTGCCATGACTTTTGTCACCACATTGCCATGCAAACTCATCTAAAGCATTTGCCCATGCACACAAGTTCATACCCTTCTTACAATGGGGACATTCGTATCTATCTGCAATGAGACCGGTACTCATGAGTCAATCTATCACACTCCTTTCGCCCTGACTTTACAGACAATTCCAAAAACGGGCGTTAAATTCAGGCTCCATCTGCATAAATTTACCCAATATCTATCTAACTAAAACTGATGACTATGAAAAAAAAACAACAACCAATTTTTAACTTACCGGGCACCCGGTCAAGCAATCAAGAATAGCAACAGACGTAATATTTAAGCACTCCTTTCTATATCCGCATCATTATAAAGTACCCAACAAAAAAAAATAATTTCTCACCATTTTGTCAAAATAGAACATAACATACAATTTTATGTCTATATTTAAAAATTATATTTTTTTTCATTTATTATGAAAATAAAAACCCAAAAGAAACAAATACAATATAATATTAAACATTCCTCGGGCGAATTAATGCTAATACATAAAAATATTAGTTATCTAAATATAAACAAAGGGAAGTGACTCCCACATGTAAACACCGAAAAAAGACGTCGTGGCATCCCCAACTACCATTAGCCCCAAGCGTCTCATATGCAAAATCTACTTAATCAACAACCCCCACCTCCCCTCTCAGTGCGTACATAACATAATATAAAATATGATTGTCTAAACTTTAAAAAAATATTACAACCAATCGTTTTTCTTGGTCCATTCACTGCCAGATCTTTATTAGAAAGTGCTAAAACTTCAACAACCAAAAATGTATTTTATTTTATCGGAAAAAATTACCGCAATCATAATCATGCTGATGCCTATCAAACTCTTCATAATATTTTTTCACAGAGTCTCTGAAAATCATAGAATTGGCGGGTCTCGGCGTACAACCATCCTCCTCATGTCCCTTAGTCCTTGGACCGTTGGGGCGTCACAGATTACATGTGAACCATCCTCCTCCATTCCTCTCCGTCTTCAGCACTACCCACTGCATCGCCCAGTGTTAGGCCTGTCCACTCTTTGATGTTATCCTCCCATCTTTTTCTTTGTCTTCCTCTTCTTCTCCCT